AAGAAAACGGTTCACCCTCTTGCCATGAAAGGCTGGGCACAAGTACCCTGTGTACTCAGTCACCAGAAGGCCTGTTCTCCATCTTGCTTTTAAAGTTATTTTATTTAGAGATCCATCAATTAGCCTGTACTGGGGGAGAATATGTTTTTTAAAGACAATGGGTTAAACAAGACAATCCTACAATCATGCAAATTAACCAATGCATTAAAAATCAACCCATTTATTTGCATAAAGAGGGCAGCTATCTGCCCTGGGGTCTGGACGGTGCTGCTCTGCATCCTTTCCACAGACAGAGCTGGCAGAGCCAGGCAGCAGAGGCAGCACACATGGTCAGACACATGTAGCCCTCCTGCCTGTGCTTTCCTGAGCTGAAACACTCTTTAAAATGCAACCTGCTAACAAAAGTATGTCAGCAGTGCATGTGAATCCAGTGTGATATATGAGATACTTCCAACATAAAATGCCAACAGCAATTACTGGGTATGCATTGCTTCGTTTTCTGTTCCAACCCAAGCTCATAAAATGTCCAGCACCGTGTCCCCACAGCAATGGGAAGGGAGCACAGTCTGTGCTGGCAGTGCATCAGACCTGATTTTGGATGGCAGCCCTGTGGGGTTGAGGAAGAACAATCTCAGCTTCATATAGTCATTCACTGATTTTCATGGAGCCAGTGTTGTGGATGTCACCCTGAATGTCCTCCAGTAGAAACAGCCACTAACCATTGCATACAGATGTGCAGTGCAGCTGCTAGAGCAGGCACAGAGTTAAAACTCTGCTAGTGTGGGTAAACAAATAGCCTCTTTTTCCTTGATCCTCTTGAAAACCCTTTTTGGTATGTCATGAGATAAGGTATTTTACTGTATGACACTTGAAGCCCCTTCATGAATTAATTTGTCCTTAATTTGTGCCTTGTCTCGCCAGGGAAAGGTGCAGATGCCCAGCATCCATGTAAGGGCAGAGCGAGCACCAGGCATGCAAACCCCAGAGCATGGCCAAATGGTGACAAACTTCAGGGGAAGGCCTGGGACAGGTACTCTGCTGCTGGACACACAGCTCAGCATGCTGCATCTAATCAACAGGAGGCAGAAGGGAGGTCTCTCTATCATATGCAGTTGTCTTTGGGTTTCTTTCTCCCAGATCACCTGGAATGAATTGTGTCATTGCACAGGGCCCAAATTGATATTACTTAGACTATGTTCAGAGGAGCTGGCAACACTGCAACGAAGTGTTTTTAAGCTTGTTGGCACTTGAGCGGGGTGGCACTTTGTGTCCCATTTCACAGGTGACACAGACTATGTATATAGTTTAAGTAGAGAATAGTTATGGTTTAGAAAGGAAAATTTGTTACAAAATTGCTGTAATTGAAGTATGGGGTTAGTAATGCCTTGAACTGCCAGTGAGCCTTGACACCTAATATAGTCTTGTTTTCAGACCTCTTTTTTCCTCTGTCAGCAGTTTTATCTCCACTTGCTAATTTCAAAAGCACATTTCTCCTCTCTCTTGCATAGCCCCAAGCAGACAAATACATCCAGGCTAATGGAAGAGTGAGGTTAATATAAAGAGGAACCTTATTACCTCTAAGTTGTTTTTCTTTCAAAGCTCTCACTTACCATGTCAAGATATTCCTCTCCTCTGCCATTTTTCTTTTATTTCTCATCCCTTCGGAAAGATTCATTCCTACTCAGGAATTACCTCTGGGGACACATGGAACATGCATCTTGCCTTTTGGCTGACTGACACATTAGATTTGATTAGTTATTTGCCCTTTAGCTGGGAATAAATAGCAGACAATGGCAGAATGGGACTATAGACTGGTGTGGAGCAACATCAAATGATAGTTACTAAGTACTCTTCCTCTAAGCAATATTTAACTACATTAAAGACAGCATAGAAACTTTTCAAAAACAGCTCAAAAGTTAGTTACTGGTTATATATGTCACAAAAGCAAAACCCCATATTTAATAGCTGAGTGATTTTCTTTCTTTAGTAGAGTCTTTTTCAGGCCTTGCCAGTATTATTTTTGTTATAATTACCATAAATATGATGTAGTTTTTAGACTGGAGTGTGAATATAGGAAGGATATGGGTTTGAATATGTTAACGTTTTTAAAAGAGCAAAACCCAAATTCATGATCCTGTTCCATAAACTTCACCTGTCAGATAGGAACATCACCAGCAGAGGAAGTTGAATGCCGAAAAGGTATATTTTGCACTTCTTTCTGTAAGTAGCTAGTTTATGCATAATTGCGCTGCATTATTATCTTTTGCTCCATGAATAAAGCAGAAATACAAAGAAAACCAAGTAGATAATGCTAGTAAACTGACAGGAACAATACCCTTAATAATTCTCTGAGGCTGTGCAGGCCAGTGCATGTGCCCATTGCAAGACTAATGCTGATGTGAGCACACGCTGTAGCAAGTGGTGCCCTTCCTGCACAGCACTTGTCCCCAGGGTGCAGATCACTCCTGCTATGGAACAGCAATAATTGGCTCCAAGTCTGCATTATCAAGCAAGGGATGATAGACACAGAAAGATGCCGATCATTCAACTGGCTGCTGGCTTTCTGCCCAAATCCCCTTTTTCTCACACGCATGCAGAGATCCAGTAAACAGTACACAGTTTGATATTATTGGTATTATTTGGTATTTGTTTGCATTCAGACACATACTCAAGCTCCCCTCTGCATGTGGTCTGTGTTTCAAGAGTTTGCTCTTATCTGCCTCATAAAGGAATGCTCTGGCTGCCATCGTTGTTGTGTGCACCCTGAATTGTATCCTGGGCTGTTGCATAAACAGCATCTCTGAAGTCCCAGTCTACTGTTAATATAAGTTTTCTTTCCCACTGTCTGCAAAGAGCCCTCTCTTCCACCCTGTCAACTTGTGGGATAGAAATGTTGTACAAAATACCTTCTGTGTCTTAGGTGTGGCTTTTTTCTTGTATGTTGATCCAGGCAAGTTCAATACATGAAATTCCCACAATGAAACGTATTTGCAAAACGTGTCTGTTGGTGTTGCATTGGCCCCAAAGCTGGCTGTGGGATGCCCTGCCGTTTCAGCTGCTAGAGGAAGCCACCATGTCTGACCCTTCTAAAGAAATCAGGGCACATGTCTGATTTTGGAGATCGTTTGGTCCAATTCTGACTTGTGTGACTGCAAACACCTGTGAGGAAATCTGAAGAAATGTGTGTAGTGATCATAGTTGCTTGCATATTCAGCACAACAGAGCTCTAGGAAACACTTCAGTTCATAATTTTAAATGAGACTTAAAGTCTCAGCTCTCTTGCCTTTATGTGCTGGAGCAATGTATTTGTTTTTATTTTACAGTGTACTCAGTATGGTCACTGGTCATGACAGCAGATCTAGAAATGCTAATGTAGAACTATGGCATAAAGTTTTGCTGTATTTTACAGAAGTCCTGGAAATCCTAGAATAGTTTCCATGATGCACATGGTAGGTACTAAAACCAAAACCTCACACTGGTAATGCAATCTCGGGACTGGGACCAAAATACTATCACTGCCAGGTGAGGCAAGGCTCCAGCTTTAGATCTGCCTCTGAAAGTCCAAGGTGGGAAAGGCAACACAGCTCTCTTTCCAGAAGCAGAGGAAGAGAGTGCCCTGAAAGCCATAGGGGCATGAGGTGGTCATAGTTTTGCATTTCTGGACAAATAGAGCTTTTCTAAATGTGCGGGAAGCAAAGCAGATCCCAGAGAAGCTTTCGTTTACTCCTGTTTGTACTCTGACAGTTTGCAGAGGGGTTTTACCTTGAGGATCCACTGTATATGAAAAATTTAGTATTAGATGTGTTACTTTCATTGTTCTTCCTTTTCAGTGGCCTGGTAGCCAAGAAAATATAATTAATTTTTACTTTCATTTTCAAACCATTGCTTTGTGGCCCTTCCTGACATTTTATAAGCAGGCAAGGCGTGATCCATTAGAGAGGGCACACAGCTGACTGCAGAATTACACTCATAAAGTAGCTTTCAACATCTTACTGTTGAACCAAGAGGCTGTTTTGACGAGTTCACAAGGATTCACATTGAGCCCATTAATGTTAATTAGAGAAAGGCTAAAGAACACATATGAAGAGTGTGTATAAGTCTAGACAGATATTGGAAGAACTTTGGCTCAAGGAAATTAGACTTCAAATGCAACACTTGTAAATACATAAAGGTTTTGAAATCTTGGAGATAAAACTGATGTTGTGAAGCACTGCACTTGGAAAATAGGGAAGAAATGAGCAATTAGAAATATAGAATAACTATCACTTAGCATGACAGCTCTGTAAGAAAGAAACAAATCACATTGCATTATATTTCTAGCTGATCATGAGAAAACAAAATGACTGATCATTCCCTGTGGTACATTAGCTGGTCTCTAGCTGTGGGTCAGTAATGGGAAATAATTATTCTTTAGATAAAACTGTTGAGACCATAAGTAACAATGCAGCTTATCAAGAAATGTTGCAGGGTCTCTTTTTTTTTGAAGGCGTTTGACAGAGATCTGGAGCAGAGAACTTACTCATATCTCCCTTTGTTTCAAGAGAAGATTTCTGGACACCCATTCAAGCTCCACACTCCATCAATAGCATGTAACAGTACTGCCATTGCTATTGCTTGTTTCATTGTGAGACTAATAATTTCACAGGGCAGCCACTCTGCAACCTTTTATTCTGATCTGCACTGAGGCAGATGCGCTTTCTCAGGCAGGGCAGTGTGCTTGGCTTTGTGATATGCTTACTTTTACTTATGTCCTTCATTAAATTACGGTGCCAGTGATTTTTATTACCAATGTAGCTGTTTTGGTTTAGGAACTTTTGTTTTGTTATGCTCAAAAGAATCTCTACACATTATTCTATACATTTAGAAGAGTACAAAAAGAAGAACAGAGAAAAAAAAGCAGAATGGGACTTCTGATTTGATTAGTCATGCATATAGCTATAAAAATGTCTATATAAATAAGTATACTACATTATTTATTGTTGTCTTTTTTATGTTCACAGGGCTACAGCTACTCATAGGGGCCAAGTTATATTCAAGGATGCCTTAGCACAACAGCTGTGTGAACAGGGAGGTAAGTCACCGTAATTCTGAAAATATCTGGCAAATATTTTTCCATTGTACCTGTGTGTCAGTGTTACTCTTCATGAAAGCTATTCTGTAGAAAAGTTAATATCAGGATCTTATTTACATTTTTAAAACTGATACTTTCTTTGGCTTCATACTTCCCATTAGCTATCCAGGAAACCCCATTGTCCTCTCTGCTACATGTTGGGGAATATACAAAGCTTCAAGTAGCATTATGCACATTCCTGAAATCAGCCTGTAATAACCAACATTTCTTTTCTGTCAAAACCACAAGCTGAGTTTTAATTCTGTCTGTATTAACTGTAAGCATTATGCCTACAGCAAAAGCTTTATTTACCATCCAGCTCACACATGTCCTTGTGAAGAATCTGCCTTCCCATTTTGTGAAAGTAGGACACTGAATTTTTACCATCACCTACAACATTTGATCATTTTTATAGCTAAACAAAATGTTTGGCTTACACAAACTTAAAAAATCTAATTGTTTGTGCTGCTTATCCTTTTGATGAACAACATAAAAAATAAACATCCTGTTGTCAGCTCTTGTCTACAAACAGTACTCTGCTTTGAACCTGATTCACTGAAACAGTAAGAAGTAGAGAAAGTATTCATCATTTTTGGTACAGGAGAGAAAGGAATTTCTGTGCTGATCCAGTTATATCAGCAAAATTCCAGTGATATTTCCATGTGAAAAGAAACAATGGAACATGGGCCTAACTGTCTAAAATAAATATTTTAAAATTGGAGATGTGTTGTCATATTGAAGCAGAAGAGAAAACCCCATAAAATACATCCTTTGGGGACATTAGTGCTATAGGGTTGGGGTTTTTTCCTATGAGCTTGTGAGTTTGGAATAAGCCATAAGATTTCTCCCTGCTGGAGGAAAATACCTTGTTAAGTAGAGACAAGTGGGTAGAAATCCATCCATGCAGACTTTGACAGTCCTTCTTCAGACATGCTGTTCCATGAGATTTTACTAGGAGAGCTGATGGAAGAACTTTTAATTCTTTCACCACTCTCTGCTTTACATTTCTGCAATTTTGGAGCACAACCTAACTTCAAATAAACATTTTAGTGAAACTTATGTTGATTAAAACAGTAGGTCCTTATGTTACTGCGCGCTGTCCCCAAGTTCACAGGAGCTCTGTAGAACAAGGAGAAAATAGGATTTCGATATCAGTTGTATGTAGAGAATAAAGGATGTTGAGATGTGCCATTCCTGAGCCTTCACTGGCTGCTCAGCTGTAACAATCCCTGTGTGGCCTCCTCCTCCCATCCAGCCACTGACAGTCACGTCCTGCACCGCTTCCCTGAATGGGTCTTCAGCTTCCCCACCTCATCATAGCCCCCCGATGTCTTTATAACTTCTGTGTTTCCCATGATTTTCCCAGCAATTCTCTTTGTTTATACACAGTCACATCAGAAACTTTCTGGATTTATCATCCTCAAAATATGTGATGTCATTGTGGTGACTCTGCAAACATCAGATCTGACTTAGTCAAGGGTCGCCCAGAGGTACTGTTCTGTGAGCAGTTGACAGTGTATGACAGCTGTGTAGAGACCAAATTCCTTGCAATACTGACGTGCAAGCTTCTGAGATGTTCTCTTGGTTCTTCTCCCACATTTTTATCCTCACTATGGTTTATCTCCACTTAATTTCCTAGCTCAGTCACAGTTTCCTTGACTTCGATATTCAACCACTACATTGCCCATTACCCTTCCTACCATCCCTTCCAGCACCAGGCTCTCCTCTGCCTTTTTATTCTCATTTCTTCAGCAGACAGTGTGCATTGCATTAGTCTCTAACCACTGCGTACTATTATCACTCTTATACTATTGGAATTAATTTTCCTATTCAAAGAAAAGAGGCTTTCTTTGAAGCAGACCTCACTTCATTTATTCCAGTTTCATCAACACCACTAATGTAAACAAAGGACTCTTTCAGAAAGAATTAGTGAATTTATTTAGATGCAAATATCAAATTAATATATATGCAAAACAGCAAGGTAGATTGACATAAATGAGGTTTTGTGGTCTGTTTCTAGCCCTAAACATTACTGTACTGAAATGCTGTAGCGAATGATGTGACATATCAAGTAAAGAAAGATAAAACCCCAGGGCAACTTCATAGATTTATTACAGGCCATCTTCTTAATAAGTATGTTCACTGGAGGTGATATCAGACTTCATAATATCTAGTAAAAAGGATATACATGAAGATGCGAAAGTAGCAAGATATCTCAGAAATCATATTCACTGTGGCTGTCCACCCTCGTATGTGCATTAGTAAATTCTAGTAGAGTTAATGGGATTTGTGCAGTGAAAGAAAAGTGGTTTTTTGTATTTTGAAGATAATTAGAGTATGATAAAGGGTAGTGTTAAGAGATGGCAATGCCAAACAAGCAGGCTTATGTATAATGAATGAGAAATTATGCCATAGGGAAAGACACTAAAGAAAGTAAAAAATTGCTCAAAAAGCTTTGTGTTCAGAAAATAATATGTATTTTAGGAAGTGAGAAAGATCTTTGACACTTGATGTGAGCTTTAAATTTTATGAGAATTACATTGAAGAAAGGAGACATAAAAATTATCATATAGTTAATCCAGAACAAAGAGGAAAAAAACCAAAACTTGCATAAGGAAAGACAGTAAAGGTAGATGTCTTATAAATACTTCTAAGGACAATTAAGGATCATAAGGACTGATGATATTCCTGCCAGTAATAATATATTTATTTAACCATGTGTTCAACTTGTTGATCTAATAGCAAAATAAATGGAAAATAAGGTAAACTTAGTATTGTGCATATTGATTCATATTTATTCCTGGCTTGAGTAGAACAAAAATTATACATTAATAAACAGTATCATAATTAAAATGGAGCTGGCAAGACATCAAATCTGGCTGCATTGTTCCATAGAACAGTGATGCTGCTGGGAGGAACAGCTTGTGGTGCACAAGCCCTGCCTGCCTTTGCTGCACCAAGTAGGATTCTAATGGGTAAGGAGGCCATTCCTCTGATACACTGTGTAACTTTGGACCAGTAGCACCATTCTTTGGAATAAGGACCACACTGGGAGATTTGTGAGCGTGTATGTTTAGTTCTGACTGACTAGCAGAGTATCTCAAAAGAGAGAGAGGGAACCCTGAGAGATGGAAAAGATGAAGGAAGCTGTCCCCTCCTAGTGCAATATCATTCCCTTCTCCATAATTCCCAGAATTTTATACAATCTCATACTCAATGCCACAAATTGTAGGACTGGGTTTCCTTTCTTACGAAACCTCTCCACAGCCTGACAGATGTCTCCACACTGAAAGCAGATCCTGAGAATTGGCCCAGACTCTCTTTTATTAGGAACTTTTGCCTGAATGTTTTGGAAGACCTTTCAGGTGTGTTTTGTACCTTTTAAAATTTAAGAACACTCTGAAAAACAAGTGCAAAACAGATTGCAGGCTCTCTGGCTTGATCAGAGCAGTATTTTACAGAGCAGAAGACTGTAGTTTAGAGCTGGTATATTGTTCCTTGGTTTACGTGTCAGCAAGAATAATGCAGCCCTTGGGCAACACACTGACTCTCCCTAGGGAATGTTCAGCCTCTATCACTCTATAGCAACTTTTTCTGCAAGTAGAGAGAAAGTGTTGGAGGGAATCTAAATAAAAGCATAAATTTCCTTTTTCATCTTCATCTGGCTGCTAATGACAAGGAGATTAGACTTTTTCATAATCTGAAAACCAGAAGATACCTCCCTCCACACCTCATTTGTCATGAATTGATGAGCAACAGCTGATGGCCACTGGCTGTTGAACTCTGAGCATGGTGTTTGTCTGGGAGCATTTCAGCATCTGTGTTACTGTAATTCACTTTTCCTTTATATTGAAGAAACTACAAAGTTCAGGATTCTGAAAAAAAAAAAAGGTATATTTTCTAGTGAGTTTTAAAAATATTTTCTTATGCTGCATTTTTTACCTGTCTCTATATACAGTCTTGACTCCCCAGATCTGTGGAATGTGGGTGTCAATAGTACAAATGGATATTGCTGAGACATGTATTTAATTTGCAATATGCTTGCTCTTTTTATCTGAATGGAGACTGGTTTTACGTAACAATTAACTATTACCATGTTTAATGATTTTGGTTCTTCTTTTTCCACTGAGAACAGGAACACCACGAAACCTTTTTTCCCTCCTCACATTCCAGTTTCTCTATCTGAAGATGACATTCCCTTCCCATTTCTTTCATATTTCCCTCCCTGCCAGTTGAACCAAAAAGGGGCATATCTAAACTGGCTTAACCTTTCAGCGGCCTTACTTCATCCACAGAAAAATTTAACCTTTTACTCCAAAAGATGCCTTCATTCTCCCTCATCTCATTGACACAGAACCCCACAATGTCCCCATTGACTTTGGAATTCCTCAGCACTTCCCTCAAGATTCTCACGCTTCCAGTTTGACTGTGCCCTTTCTCTCCCTGAATCACTCTGTATTATACACTGTCATGTCTGCTTTTCCTTACCAAAGGAATTGCCTTGTCTTACGAGCACCCTACATTTCCTTACGTTTTGCTCATGCCTCTTCGATTGTGACCTCAGTTAAGCTGTGCTTCCATTCTTTGCTCAGTACAATTCATCTCTGTATAAACCCAGGGTGCTAGTTAAAAATCAAATAACAAATTCATTTACTTTACTTTTTAAAAAGGTACAACTTCTCATTCAAGCTAAGATGCATTTTGGAGCCATACAAATACTGATTCTAAATTTAAAGTCATCCAACCGTGTGCCTAAGGAACATCTAAGAAAGTGAATCATGATTTAAAGGGTGAACTGAGGTGGTCTTTCTTTTTCCCTCTCAGTTTGAAGTATTGTATAATTCCTTTTAAATTATAAATTTATATCTTTACACTGTATAGCTACGCTGCACCATATAATTTCTTTTAGCTTTGTCATATTGTCTGAGGAAACTCCATTTGACTTTAGCCACACCGTATGGCCTATGGAAAAATCCATATTACTTTAAAGTGAGTCATTCTATATATTGATTAAAAAGGCAGATCTGAAAATATTTTAAAACTACTACAATTGGGTTTGGTTCATTTTCTGAATCTCAGTTATTTTGGGGGACCTTAAATACAACACTTCAAGATTCACATAGTGCTGTTTTGCAGTGAAATCTAAAATTTAATATAGAAATTATTTATAGAGAGATTAAAGTCTAGGTTTATCATTCATTAAATGGTACCTTCACAGTATGTTTTTCATATTCAGCTCTGGAATTTAAATTAAAAATCAGATGATGGACTACCTGAGGCAAAAATACTTGGACTTCTTAGATCCTGTGAAGACTTAGGAAGCCTTAACCCCTCCTCAACATAAAGTCTGTATTTGTAAGAACAACCTTTTGTCCAACATTAAGTGTTTGCTTAATTCTGCCTTTAGTTTTTTAAATGATTGATTAGTAGGACTAGTAGGCACCTGCACAATTTCCTTCATTTCAGTCAGTTGGTAAGCAGCTGTGTTTTGCAATGCCAAGAAACCTGGGATGAATGCTAGTCCAGTCATTCATTTTCATTTTGAGATCTGATCTACTCTTGTTTAAGTCAGCTTTCAGTTGGGTTCCTTTCAAAGGCTAATGAAATTTGCTGGGGCAATTAATGAGTCTGCCCGTGATATGACCTGATATGACCATCCTCCTCACGGATGGGCCTTGCAGGATGGTTCCCAGCCACACCTGTGTTTGCAGTCGATCATCCCTGAGTACTGTTCTGGAACTAATGGAAAGGAGTAATGCAGAAAGTCAAAGACAGAAGTCTTCTATTAAGCCTAGCCTCTTACAACAACTAGAGTATTACAAATCCCATGCCCTAATGTACTTCTTTTCCTGCAGGCAAAATCCAGAACAGTTTCCATTGCTCAATCTGGGAAATAATTTATTTAATCCAGTTTACTACGTTTCTTTTGTGCAAGTATTTTTCAAAAGGTTTCTATCAAAATTTACTCTTTCCCACGGAGAAAAACAACACCTGGCACTACAAGGGACAAATGCAGTCTTCTCCACTGTAGGATTCACCAGTGCAGTCCAGCATTATTCTGGAGGCAGTGCCAACCATAACATGCAATAGGAGTTGTATTCTTCCAGATTTTGAACCATCATGATGAGAGGTCTTGGCCATTGCTAGAGTCATTATTGGCAGTACTTCTAGGGAAGGCAAGGCGACATGGGTAAATTTCTTGTATAAAAAGTGGAGAAAATTAGCCACATAAAGGAAAAAAAATTCATATTTTTGTCAGTGTGTGATTTCTGTTCAACAACAGACTCTTAAGAAGGTCTTTGTTCTTGGCTGCAGTAAAGCTTTCAGTGTTTCTGTGGTTGTTTTCAGTGCTACATATGTATATACACACATATATACATATGTACAAATATGCATGAGATTAGTGTGTGTTTATATATATTTTTTTATGGTTAGTAGATGGAGTAAAACATGTCAGTCTTCCAGTTAGTAAGTCAGTTAAATCAAAGTTTTCTGTAACATGTAAATGGATGTTTGCCATCCTTTTCTGGTCTGCAGATTCCTCAGTTGTTGATTGCTCAGTCTTCTTAATCCCCTACTTCCCCATGAAATGTTGCAATTTCATTACAGAATGTCATGCCTCCTTGCAAACCCAGTATTTAAGGAGTAAGCAGGAAGGGAAAAACAAAATTCTTGAGATTTGTGTTGGACTTTCTATTCAAATGACTATGTGTGAGAGCTCTACACAGATTGCTGCATTCATTTTTATGTTTATTTTTAATTTGTCAGATGTTATGACAGAAATTGCAGTACTGCAGTAATTTTTTGCAAATATGCTGAAGAAATCAGGAGTACTGGTACAATTTAGGTCAGTGCCCAATAAGAAACAGAATCATCAGAAGAATCCTGGCTTCAAAAATTCTCTTTTTTGGGGGTTTTATTTTAACCGAAGTCCAAAATTAAGCTAGAAATATAAATCCATGGGTGAGGTACTGAGAGGCAAAAGAAGTAGCTGCTTCCCAGGAGCTTAATTATGTGCACTCCCTTTGCTTCCATTAAAGAGGTGTGATTTTGGATTTAAGGTCAGGCAAGGCTATGGATGTAGCAGGTACCATGGAGTATCCAGCACACTGTGTAGCCAGCTTCTAGACTTCTCCATACATTTGTAGGTAGCTTCTGCCCTTTCAGATAACATTCTGGTTTAATTCCTGTAATGTTACACCAAGACTCCTGTTGCAAAGTGTTAGTATAAAACTACTTAATAAAGTTTTGTCATTTCACACACACGTGCCACCCATGCAGTGTGTCATTACAATATTCTACTGTTTCTTGGAAGGCAAAAACCTACTGAGGAGTTGATCAGCAATGCCTGTAAAAACATGCTTTGATATAAGTGTTTGATTCAGTGATTTGCAGAGTCAATCTGTTACTTATTGTACTAGGAATATTAGGATTATTTCACCCAAACATATGCCCAGTAAGATGTTGTTCAGTGCAGTATAAATGATTAAAGTGTGGCATTTTTTGCTCAACTGGACTATTTATTGTATTCAGCCTAATTCCTGCTCTCTTTGTCAATCAATGAATTACTGAATCTTAATCCAAATTATTTCTAATAATATCTCATAATTCTAGGCTGCTAGTGATCTTTCTTTCCTTGCTGTACAATCAGTGCTCACTCTCATTTATTGTGATGTGTATTTTAGTTAAGAGAATAGTACTTTATCTTCCTATTTTTTGTAACTTTTGGGGTTTATCACATTTTTCATAATTAAACTAGCAGGATAGTTGACTATGAATGCACTGTACAATTTGTTTTAAGAATAATCAATTTTTAATGCTGCAATTAAGCTCTCATCATAGAAGATATTCATGTGTTGTGTGTCTTTGTTTTCTGCAGCTCCGACAGAAGCTCCCTTACATCCACACCTAGGTAGGTGATTTGTCATTCTCATTACTAAAACTCAGAATCACTAACTATTATAATAAAAAATCTGTAAGGTCATATGAAACTAGGTCTGGGGAATTCAAATAAAAATGAGATTCATACAAAATGAATTGAATCATGTCTATTTCTGATTAGTTGTTTCTTCATTGTGGTTTTTATTGCTGTATTATTTATTGCCTTTGAATCCTTGCAGTGTGAGTATATCATGCTGCAGAGCTTTTCTTCATAGCTGTGTGTTAGAGCATCTGTTTGCATGAGAACCTGGACTGGAGCATCTCTCCCATGAGGACAGGCTGAGTTGGGATTGTTCAGCCTGGAAAAGAGAAGGCTCCAGGGAGACATTAGGGCACCTTTCAGTACTTAAAGGGAACCTACAAGAGAGATGGAGAAGAATTTTTTGCAAGGGATGTAGTAATAGAACAACGGGAAATGGCTGTAAACTGAAAGAGGATAGATTTATAGCAGATATTAGGAAGAAATTCTTTACTGTGGGGATAGTGAGACCTCGGAACAGGTTGACCATAGAAGTTGTGGATGCCCCATCCCTGGAAGGGTTCAAGGCCAGGTTGGATGTGACTTTGAATAACCTGGTCTAGTGAAACGTGTCCCTGTTCTTGGCAGGGCGGTTTGAGCTAGGTGATCTCTAAGGTCCCTTTCAAACCAAACCATTCTAGGATTCTATGACCCATAGCCCTGAGCGTGGGACAGCACCTCACACCAGTGCTGGGTTACTGGGAGGAAGATTTTTTGCTAGTGCACCTCCAAGGTGTACCCAGGAGCAGCACGCTGCAGCACACTACCCTGCACCCACCAGCCCATGTGTTGCAATTTGATTAGTCCAGGACAGATTCTGACACCCTTGCTCAGTTTCAGTAGAAAGTGATACTTCATTCATTTAATGAAAGTGTTTGTAGAGAAGGATCTGTGTAATACAAACACAGGTGCCAAAGTTTTGGGATGTGGGGTGGTTTTCTTGGTCATCATATGTAAATCAGACAGTAAATCCAAGTGGAAAATTGGAGTCTAAAGTTTGCGGACCGATGGTTAGAAATATTTGCATTACATAACTCACAGTTTATGTTCCTTAAATGAGTTGACCTTTACTGCCAGCTCCACTGATAGCAGCAGAGAAATTCCAATGAGCTCATGATTTTTGCTTATGAGTTGTCAGAATGAATCCCCTGACTGTAAGAACTATAATACACTCACTAGGACTTCTCATCCCTTCTTGTGCCCACGTTTACAAAATCTGAATTCAGAAGGATTTTTTTCTGAACATTCAGAAAACTAACAATTTGGAACAAAAGGTTTTAAAAGATTTAGTGTGTGCTTGATGATTTCATCTTTTTATAGCCATCACACTTTGGTAATGGGAACACTTCTTTTTTGTGGTACTACCATTCAAAGTAAATAAAAAACCTGTAACTAGGAAGCCCTAGCTTTTGTAACTAGCATATCTTAAAAAGCTGATTTCCTCATTTTACTATACATAACTAGCTCTAAGAAAGGGAACATTTAGAAAGCACTGGGTGATTACACTGGATTTTTTTTCCTACGTTGCTTTCTTTTCTTTGCAGCTGAACTGCACAGTGACAGCATTATCTTACGAGATGACTTTGACTCTGACCATGAGCAAGAATTGAATCCTACCATGTGGTGAGTTTCAGACTTCTGCTTTCCCTTAAATGCATTTGAGCAAATGAAAACATTTTGGTTATTATAGTCAGGACCTAAATATATCGGTTTATTGATTAATTGAGTAATTGATTAATGAGTGACTGAGAAATTCTAAGCCTCCTAAAGTGAGGGACAAATTCTCATTGATTTCAAATTTTTAATTAATCCAAAAATAGAAGGAGCATATCTGAGGTCAGTGAATATTTCTGAATGAAGATTTTGGTTTCTTGAAAATTTAGATGTCTGTTGGTGGAGCCTGTAGGAGTGGCACCCCAAGTGCTACCTTAGCTCAGGACTGGGGAACTGGAAACAGTCACAGACTGTTAGCTTTTAGCCAAAAGGAATGTTCTTTTAGCAAAGATAACTCTTAGAACAGACCTCTCAATCTTAAATATTAATAATTTTACCACCACCTTGGTCACAGAGATAGGGTACCATTCATATTATATATAAGTACAAGGTCACAGAAGAGGGAGTTGTATGTCTCTAACAGTACAAAACTGATTCTCTTCTGGATAGTGAATATATCTACAGGTCGTATTATACTCAGATAAAGACATCTCTTGGACTTAACATGAAGTTTTGAAGGTTGGAGCCTACTTTTTTATATGAGATCATTACTGAGTTTTCTATTCCTTCTGATCCTATTTCATAAATATAACTAATTTTATTAATTTAATTCATACAAGACATAGAAATATTTGAGTGGGTTAGTTTATCTTGTTTAAATAAATTCTTGATGGGCATTTTAGCAGTTACCTTCATTTGTTAGTTAAGAATACATATGTTCTGTGAAATCTGACTTCATTTTCCTTTTTATTAAGGCCTGTCACAGCTTTCCATCTGTTCAGGTCTTTCACAGTTTAACCATCTCATGTAAAAATGCTGTGTTTTATGGAATTTTATGGATATTTTTATTTTGCACACACTGATTCTAATAACTTTTAATTTGTGTCTACAATTTTTGCTCCTTTTGTTCCTTTTGTATCAACTCTTTAAAAATGTTTTTCTGGACAGAGGCATTAAGGACCTGCAATACTATACCATGAAAAACCCTCTTTCTTTATGGGTATGAATAGATCAAGGACTCTTAATGGGTTACAGAATAGCTGCCAAGGTAGATAGCTTTAGCAGCAGTGTGTTAAATGGACTTGAGTGGAAAAAAATGAGAAGAGGCATTATTTCCCCACAGATGTCTCATAACTCACAGAGGACTTGTCTCTTGGGAGCCTCCATAATTTATTTATCCATTGCTCTCAACTTTAAATTCGTCCTTGCTTTATGGAAGTCTCAACAGAGAAATTTCAGACTAAAAGAGCCCCCAGACTTCTGCTCCTTTTGTCCCCAGTATTTTGATTTGGTCCCTCTGGAATAAACTTTCCCCACCTTGGTTAGTGAGTCAGAGCAGAGAGGTGGGTGCTGTGAGAGAGAGTCCCAAAACTCACTGCAATCCTGAGACAGGTTTTCCTGTAATAATAGCAGAAAACCAGCATTTTCAGCAATGTTAAATACAAGTTGAGCACAAATAAAAGAAATCTGTAATGAGGTACCATGAGCTTTTCAAAGGATTCGTACAGTAGCTCTGCCTCCAGTGAGGACCTGCTTGGTGGCAGAAAGCCCGTTCTCATTTGATTGTCTAGTGGGAGTTAAATCAGGAATTATTAACAGTTGTCGCCATCCATCCTAAAATTGCATTTTTTCCCCTGGCAGCTGCTAAAATCCCATCTTTACCACAGACAATTGTGGTAAGTGCTGGAGCACTGTTTCCAGCCCTGCTTGGTCCTGGCCTGCCATGATTGGAGCGCGCGGCAGCAGCTGCCTCGTGTGCGCGGATACCCCACCGGGGCCGTGCCACCAGGGGCCACTTAGACTAAGCCACTCTAATAATTTCTGAAACCATTATTTGTGTAAAGATGAAAAGAGAAGTATTTGTATTTTCCTATGATCTTTTCTGTTCACAAATCCTACATAACACTGGCTTGGAAATGATTAATATTTTCCTGCTCCTCCTGATCCCCCGTCTGGCATGTGCAGCTCTGGCAGACATGTGCCATCCAAGTGCACGAGCAAAGCATTTTATTGCTTCTGTGTGTGTCTGATTTTATGAGTCCCAACAGAGCCTGTGTGTCACTCCGTTGCTGGGAGAGGCCTCACATCAAATAACTATTTTACACAAGGGCACTGTATGATTTCCAGAGTGATTGCCTGGTTTTTATGGAATTCTGCTCTTTCAAATACATTAAAAGACACATCTTTCCCAGCAACCATCTGTTTCTTTGGAGGCTCAGGAACAGGGAAGGAGTGTGTATGAGTGTTTCTGGAGCTGTAGAGGGAAGAGAACGGGAAGGTTGGGATAGGGTTCTTCATAAACAGAAAAATCACAGCGCCTGGGAATGAATTCCTGACCTAAATCAAAGTTTGGTGACTGAAAGAAAGAAGGAGAATCTGCTAAAGTGGGAAAGGGACAGGAAGAAGTGGAGGCAGGAGACAACACATAAGGAAAAGGAAGGAGGAAGATTTCTGTGCTGAGAATGCAGCATGCCTCATGGGAGCATGCCTTATCTTTCTCATTTTCTGGGGATTCAACCACTGTGCGGATTTTCTTGTGTGGTTTGTCCAACTAATTTTTATATTATTTCCTCCCAGTGTGCAATCATGTCAGACTGTGATTAATTTCAAAGTCCCCAACCCATAAGCAGAAGTCTGCTTACTTAAGCAAAGATTTTCTCACTTCTTGGGTCTTACTTGCCATTAAATTTACAAAGATCTCTTGTTTTGTGAAACAAATACACTTCACACATTCATAAATGTCCAATTTATTTTATGTCTGACATGTTAGCCATGGAAGTTAAGGTAGGTAAGTGATTCCCAATCCATGATAAATGTAGCACCAATGCCGATGCTCAGTGGGTCACTGCTGACTTGTGGAACTAATTAGTAATGTTTAGTGCATTTTTCAGCGAGTAGTCCAATAGTACAGGTGATTGGTGGTCCATGAGACTTGCTGGAAACTGACAGGACAGTGTTTGATCAGAAAGCTCAGAAACTGTGGAAGTAATGGATTTCCTCTGTAGGGAAAGGGAATCTGTACCATGTACCACTTGCCAGGGAAGGGTCAGGGAATGGCTGGATGAGAAGAGGTCCAGTATGAGTGGTATCAGGAAGACTGTCTAGGTCATTGAGAACCTGTTCCTGTGACCATCTTGCCTCCATGTAGCCTCATAAAACTGCAGTGGAGAGTATAAAAAAGGTGCTATATAAGAGCTAAACTAGATCAAAAAAGATCAAATCTAGAAAAATACTCTGTTTAATCCTATGATAAATAATTTAATGTTAAAAAGTTGCATAAATTAGTACATACATTAATGTATGTTTCTGTATAAACAGTTTTAATAGTAGTACTGTAGAAAACAGGGGATTCAGTACATTTAAAAGAAAAAGAGCCTGTACAGAAGCTTGTTGCTAGCTAAACTCTCCTTCCCAACTCGATGTCATGTTTCATCTCAAAGCCTATCAGCATGCCAAACAGCAATCACTTACAGAAGACACGCTTGTCGAAGATGACATAAAGAATAGCTGAACATGTAAAATCAATCAATAAGAAACAGAGATTCTCTTGGTCATCACTTCTTCATGGTGTATGAGAAATGTACAGGTACAGTGATATTTCCAGTGGCAAAGAGGTGGAGGAAAGCTTTGTGACAGCAGAGAGAGGTCCTAAAGTGGTTTCCAAATTGCACTAAAACTGTGGGATTAAACTTCAGAAAGATTTATGTTTAAAAATCTCTTGGCAGTTTGAGATGTTTATCTTCTTTATAGTTCAGACATCACAAAAGACATCAGTCAATATAACATCCACAAACTCAGGTATTGTAGAGGGAAACAAGATGAAAAATAGGGATGGGGAGACAGATGTTTCCCCTTCAGCAAAGTGAAAAACAATAGCAGAGAGAGGTGGGACTCTCTAAGTCAGAGATGAGAGCGATGGCAGGTCTGCAGAGAAGTCATCTCCATAAATGTGACACGTGTCAGCAGTGGCAGCGAGTACCAGCTGTGAAAAGAAAGCTGAACTGATTTTAATGTGCTAAGATTTTAGACCAGGCAGGTGTGAAAGATAATGTAGAAAGCTGCACCCAGCCAGGGCAATTAATACTGTCTCCTGTTTGTATAAATGGAAAAGAAATTAACCTTCCTGTCTTCACCAGGAGAGGAGCAAATTGGATCGTTTCTAAACACGTAGTACTATGACGATGATCTGAGGAACAGCAGATCAATTATCTTGCTCTTCATGCATTCTTGTCAAGCTAATGAGCAGTTTATTGTCAAAGGTAATGCATTTCAAAGAGAGCACAAAGGTTTGAATCAGGATTATCAACAGACATCCGATTTCTTATGAGAGGAGTTATCCTAGAAAAGATGAGTGATGATGAAACTGCTGCATTATCAGGATAATGTTTCTGGATTTCCAGACAATATTTCATAGACCACATTACAGGAGTAGAACAGATGAACAACTGAATCACTTTTTATTCATTGAAATATGAGAATTAAAAAATTAAAATATTTCTTGGATTATGTATCCTGACCTTTCACAAGGCACTAAGTGATCCCTACATAGTATTCACGGCAAAGTTTTCCTGCCATATCTGTTTCTCCCTGCACATACCGGGAGTCCAGGCAGATGTTCCAATGTACTCAAAAATATAGGGGCAGACAATGAAAATAATTTTCACAAACAGCCATAATCCTACAGAATTCCAGGTATTCTTCTAGTTCCTGTCCCTCTGTTCTTCAGTTATCAGAGTTTAGGGCTCGAGTAAAATTTAGATAGCAGCAAACACGTCCTCTGTGAACTCTGTGACATGCTCATACAGGTAAAAAACCTCAAAGATTTTTTTATATCTTTGACTTTGTTTCTGGAAGTGGAGTTGAAAGTGATCTTTAATAGAATCTCAGCATAAGGTGGGGATTTGGAAATTGGGAACAAGACATTGATCTTTGACTTCTTTAATGGACCTGAGCATAAGGAAGCCAGGCCTATGCTGAACTCACCCAGGACCAACTGAAGAGACCCAAAATAAAATGTACAACCAATTATTCACCACATCTATGCATCTGAAAACCTAACATCTGTCACTCAGCAAACCTTAGCACTCAGAGACCTGCAGGGTGTTGTTCGGGTTATTGTATGCTGGCCAGAGTTAACCCATTCTGCCCAAAGGCACCCACACTAGTGATTTCTAATCGCTGCCTGGGTTTGATCAGCACCTGGGTTTGCAGCAGCCCATCCTTTTGATTACGTGGCCCCTGCAGGGAAAAGCTCTCTCAGCCCCATGGGGTAGCTGACAACACTACCAGCTTCTTCCTAACAATGCAGGTGAAGATTTCATTTGCCCTGTCCAGGACCATGGTGGGGTGATGATTTTCAGATACTCAGGAACAGAAAAATCCTGCGCCAAGGAGTTTACGGAAAGACTTGCAGAGGTTTAACAGAACACTTACTAACGAAAAGACAGACAAGCAACATAAATTAAGAAAAGGGTTGGAAAAAACACAGATCCGAGGAAATTTGTGTAGGAATCAACTGTACATTGATAATATGTATCAATTATCTATGTTCTACTATGATCACTGAAATCTCTATCATATATGTTGACAGCAAGACCCTATCTCCTTGGGATTTATTCCTTTCCATCCAATTTTCTGTAAGATCTGCTGTCCAGAAATTAGCCAAAGAATGAAAAGACAGAAGAAAACCAAACCTTTACACACTCTTAAACTACATCTGGACTGTGGTCACGGGAATGTGTACTTTTGGTGACATTATACATCAGAAAGGGTGGCCACTTTGTATGAGAGAAGCCAAAGAAAAAAATGCCTAAGCACCCCTTGTATAAGTCCATTGAAATTGAAACTCTAAAAAATATCAGTTATCAAAGTACAGAAAAAATTCAGCAAGAAATAGGGTTTGGTGTGAGTTCACCTTTGTTTATAATGAAGCTGTTGCTGGAGTAAATGTTTGCCTGTAGTTTTGATGATTAAGCTGAGCTTTGGATGCCTGAAGGCAATACTGGTCAGTACCATCTCAGGCAGCTTGTTGGGGGCCAGAAGTATCTCAAATATTTTTTGAAAGTCTACTTCTCATGCCAAGATCCAATGCCCTGATCCTCAAAGGTGAGGGAGACAGCCCTTTCCATGTGTTCTGCAGTCAGGCTGCCCACAAAGTCCTTCATATTAAATTAAGAAATATCAGAACAGTTGCAATTAGTTGCTTCTGCAGCACTTACCAGCCTCTTTGAGAATTTCCTCATAGTTTTTCCCCTAAAAGGTGAGCAGAGTGGTAACTCTGTTAGTAGGAATATGGGATATGAAAAATACAAATAGAAGCAACAGCAAATCCCACGTTACAGCAGCTGAGCGGTAGGAGCCTCTTGGTGCACATTTTTGGGGAGGGTCTGCAGCCTCAAGCCTCCTGGCCCTTTGGAGAAATAACCCTGCAGGAGCAGGACCAGAAGAGGAGCTAATTCCAATCCCTTGTCCTCAGCTGTTCCCTATGGTAACTCCACAATGGTGGTTTTATGTATGGCATATAAAATGTGCAGCGAGGATTTTGTAAGAAGAGTAACTTCAGGGTAAGTTATACATGTAAAAGTTCAACTTGGTTGCCCTTGGTGAGATGTTTTCCATTCGATGAGCAGGGACACCCTTTTTTAGAGGGTGTTGCCGTGGGAGTTAGGTGCTGAAAAAATCTCTGGAGCAGTTAATTAGGGGTGAGATAAGAAAGGGTTTATTTTGCCAAGGCAAAGATGTTACAAGACGCGCCCCGGTGTGCCTGAGATGTTACATTTTATAATACCATCCATCCAATCCCAGATGTGTTCATCCTGTGGCCTTAACTCTGGTCCACCCCGGGTCCACCCCCTGAAAATGGGTCTGGGGTGTACTTCGAGACCCCCTGTTCATCCCATCTTCATCTTCATCAGAGCACAAAGGGTACATAGTCACCCAATTCTTGACCGTGTTCTGTGGTTTAGGCCCTGATATGCTGTTCTTCCAACAATCTAGGCCTTGCCTTGACAAAAGACTAAACATTTCTACTGGATTCGGGAGTAGGGGTGATATAGGGAGCATAGAATGGGGTAAGAGGGCTAAGGAATGTGTAAACAAGGGTGCTACAGAGAAAAGGAAAGGGACAAGGGACAAAGGAGGGAGGGTTGCTGCTTTTAAAATCTACTTATAAAACTTATAAGGCTTACCAATATTAGAAAAATAAAAAAAACATTAGGGGCTTAAGGCATCAAGGGGAAACAATTTGCAGAGCACAAGTACTTACTCACAAGGGCCTTTCACAATAGGCAGCTCTAGTACACCACACGTACAGTTGCTCAACCTTTATGCTTACCACTGTGATAACAAGTAGTCCAATTTGAGCACCAAGATAAAGCAGTCTGATTCTACAGTTTACAGGCCTGGTGCAGTCTCGAAGGTACAGCTTCTGCTTTCCTTTTGAACATGGTGTGCTCTTCCCGCAGGTCTGAGTGCAGTAACTGTGAGGTTGGAGAGCACTGCGGGGTGATAATGCACGGCAACGCTGTCACTTTCTGCGAGCCATATGGTCCCAGAGAACTGGTAAGTGAAGGCTGGCTCACCTGCCAGGGCTGGGGCTGCAGGCTGTGAATCGAAGCTGCGTCAGCTGCAGAAATGTTGGTGTGCTTGAGGAGTTCAGCAAAGAGGCTCTTAAGCAAGGTGATAGGCCCATAGAAGTGCACCCAGGGACTTCCCAGCGTTTTAAACCATAGGTTTGCAAGGGACAGTGTCTTGATCTGGTGTGTATCCAAGTTATTTAAAGTATCCCTGAAGTGCTGAAAAGTCAAGGAAATAGAACTGTGTTGTCAAAGGCATCATTCTCTTTTTATTTCCAACAATGAAATAGAGACAGGGTTCATTTTTCTTCTATTATTTTATTAGTCATGTCCCGTTTTTTCATGTAGCTGTTGACAAATGTTAATTTGGTTGTAAAACATCACTTGTGATCAATGAATCCTACAGACTTAAACGCAGCCTGGAGCAAGCACCTGCCAGTCTCAGGAAAGTGTATGTAACAGATTGAGTCACGATGAACGGGACAGAATTCATTTTGTTAGGGGTTAGTTTGGTCATAAAATTGCTATAAGAAACAACGTGGTGCAATTTGCATTAACTTGAGGTCATCTGGGGGTGTGTGGGAAATGAATTACAGTACATATAACCAATGCCCACACGCTGACACTGGGCAGATAGCTGCAATGGTGTACATAAAGTGGGAGCTTTGGAAAGAACTGAAAAATTAAAAGGCCAGATCAAAGCCTGTGTAATTCAAAATAATTTTCATGTTTTCAACAGACTTCTGAGTGGAGGGAGAGGCTGATTAGAGCTATTTGAAGAGCAAACATGGACGAGGGCCATAAAACAGAAGTGGTTTTGGCCAGGCATCTTCTCTTAATTTCAGACACTGACAATCCTTTTCACAGGGTTAATTTTACATCCTTAACTGAGACCAGAATTCCAAAAATGCAATGTACATATTGCTACTGTGGTGAATGATAAACACATATAAAATTAATTTAGAGATTTTACAGATAAAGGAGAATTTCTCTCTCAACCAGCTCCAGCCAGGGAATCCTGTCAGGGATGCTTAATTGACTCTCTGCTACTTTGCATCCTGTTTAAATATACTACGCTTCTCTAACTGCCTTGAGAAGAGATGCATTGTTATATGTCCTCTGCAGAAATTAAGTCACACCACTGGGATATATTTCCCATTTTTTTAATTCATTTTTAGTTGTAGTGTTGAGCATAGGTAACACTACTTGAAAAACAATCTATTTATGACATTTAGCAAACCCAGGGGCACAGCTCTGAGAGATTTGACCTGGCATTCATTAACTGTCTTCTCCCTGCTGATACGCAATTTAGACTATCCTTAGTAATTGGGAATTGACTTCAAAATCCAGTGTTGGACTGTATTTGTCGTATTGCCATGGGGTAAATAGCACTACCATGGAATGAGGAACTTGGAAAAAATTTGTTATGATACCAAAGTGGTGTGATTAAATAATCAGCTGAAAAAAATCATCATGCTTATAAGCAGCTAGCAGCCAAATAATGAAAGTATTTATAAATACTATGGCAGTGTTGCAGAAAAATCAAATCCTTCTGAAGGAATGTGCTAATGACTTAACATTATGGATGAGCACAAGACAGAGTTCAGGCCAGAAGTCTTATCTAGTTTTATTTTTGAGTATGGACATACATTTAAATCCCTATTGTCTTAGAAGTAACCTGTTTCTGATTTGTGGTTGTTTCGGCAATTTCACAACATATGTCTTCCTACTACAAATTTTAAAAGCTGTTTTATTTCTCCATGAATTTCATTAATCCTATTCTGTCTCTGCTCGAAATGGCTCTTGAAATCTCTGTTATTGTGAATGGCTCCTCATACATGGATTACTGCTTTAAAATACTTAGTCCAGAAGAGTTGTATTTGCAAAATATATTATATCAACAGCTCTGACAGCTGCTGGTTTGCTTCCTTGACCTCCTTCTCTTCTCCTGACTCCCAACAGCTGCCTGTTACTTCAGGCAGAGGGTTTTTTGTTACCAGCTGTCTCTGTTGGTGAGAATTTACTACAGGCAAAATCCTGGAAAGATGTATGGCATCAGAGCTGTTGCAAGCAAAGGAAAATATTTGCTAAAGGCTACCAGTTTCTCTGCAGTGTCTGAACTTTGTAGTCCTTTTCAGAACTTTGAAAAAAGTTTTTAGTAAGTCTAAGGCTTTTTTTTCCAAAGCGTTGCTGAAATGATTCACAACATAGTCTCTTCTAAGTCTACATGAACACCTGCGATGACCAATATATTTAATTTCTTGGTGATATGAGCCACTGAACCTTGATAAAGGTTTTGTTTGCAAATTATAACTTTCACAACATAATTAATTGAATGTAAACTAACATAATAGGTTCTCATAACTCAAATCAGAAAGCATTTTATTATTTGGCATGATAAGTGTGATACCTAATACTGAATCGATCCTGACAGAATGACTTAAATGGGAATGTGACTGTATTTTTAAAGGGGTTGTGTAAATGCAGCTTCCCTATTCTTGTTTAAAAACTAAAATTGCCTGTTAGGACATTTAATCTTGTTATCACCTAATCTTCAGTGCATTTCGGTGAAGATCCCATTCCTTAATATTTATAAGAAGATCCTCTCTGTATGTGATATGTATGTAGAAAAGAAACAAAACGCCAAAAACTCATGCCAACTCATGCAGGTCTCCATCCATTATTTTCAAAGGCATCATTTAATGAATAACTCAACTAGGCTCACACACCACCACCATGGCATGACTTGCTTTTTATGTAGCAGTATCATAAAGTCCAACTTTCAAAATAAATTGAAAATTACTAGGTGGCCTTCACAACACACTAGTGTATTTTATTTTATAGCATTTTCAGGAAAACAGTTCTAATGTGAACTATTGAAATATGGAGGCATTGAAAGAAGGAAGGAAGAGAGGCCTCAGAGGAGGGTGTTGTGCTGAGTACAGAGGCAGCTGCTTCGTGTTTTCTGTCGGTTCTAGGTCTTGTTTGGATGTGAGCAGTGTGTAGATGCTACTACAATATTTCATTGTACATATTACGTAGTATCACCAAGGTTTTGTTTGCTTTGGTGTTGAAGGTTGAAATTCTGTTATTTCCTCTTAATATTTCATTATTTTAGGTTTACTTAATGTTATTTTTATTATTTACTAATGGTTATTTTTGGTTCTTGTTCTGTGCTGGGAGAAGTGAAAACCATTCTGTATATACAAATTTACACTAAAGTGACCATGAACCACAGAGTTTATTTTTTCAGTCTTCTAAACAGTGGTCAAGCACCAGTGTTGCACATAAATGTGCTTTTTTTTTGGTAGACATCAGTACAATGGAAAAGAAATCCAGCTTTGACGTATGATGAGATATCAATAATCAAAATGACATAACAAAAATTTCCATGATCACTCAACCTGAAAAGGCTGGCAATTAACAATTCTATGCACTGGAGATGTAGATGGCTAGAGATTTTCCATGCTTTCAAAGAAAAACAAGAGATGAATGTATTGTTTTCCTGATCTAACAAAACTGTTTGCTTCTCTTCCCATAGACCACCACTGGCCTTAACACAACTACTGCATCCGTCCTTCAGTTTTCCCTTGGTAAGTTTAGATTATTCTTTCTCCTGAGAAAGTGCAAAAAGTAATTTCTGCAAAGGAAAAAGGGCCTAAATTTCAGGTTTACCTTTCTGGTTGATGTTCCATTTGACATGAGGGATTTAAAATATCTTTTAAAAACTGCACTTTATTTATTCATCTCCTGATCTGGAGCTCCTAATCTAAATTTTGGAAACCAGAAACTTCAGTGGATACTCTGATGGTGAGAGACACGGTCATGTTTGAGTTTTGGTTTTTTCACTTATTTTATAACCTGACATTTAACAATATAATCTCTCGCTCTTTCTCTGAAGTGTGATTATTGTTTCTAAAAAAGGAAGGTTTTTAACACTTAACCCTCCCGATATATTCCAAGTTACACCTAGGTAGTGCTGTTTTTAACACATTTGTACAAAGAGAATAGGTGAGGCAGACTGAAACTAAATGCTATTAAGTTCATATTATCAATGGCATGGTTGAATGCTGTATTAGTTAGAACACTGTGAGTTATTGAGCATTTCACTGTGCAGTTGTGGCTATAAATTCTGGTAGAAGTTGTGGTTTGGGCTGAGGGCAAATTCAGAACACAATATGTTAACTCATATCTCAGTGTTCAAAATGTGAAGGAAAAATGTTCTTATGATATAAATGGTTCAATAAAAAAGCAAGGAGGATATGTAACCTGCTTCCTCAGTAGACTCCTGGGTATGTGTTTCCAAATCATATTCCTATTTTTAAAAAAAGTAATTCTACGGAAGTATCTCAGCAGACATGTGATTAAACTCTGGAAATCTCAGTTGGAAATAAGAACTATCAGGTAGCTTGGCAAGCAGCTTGGTTTTTTTAATAGATTGGAAATCAAAATCATGGAAGGCTTAGAAATATATCATTTAAATTTGGGTTTTACCTGAAGTTGTTCCTTTGGGTATTTGAAATCATCATTATCTGCAAATGACTGCAATGTTAATAGAAATAAGGATTGGTATAGATCCTTTTATTTTGAATTACTGGCTTTAAAAAGCCAGAAAAATTTATCCAATCCTTAACTGAGTTATTGCATAAATATTGGGCACCTCAAATGAAAACCAGCTGGCTGCTGTCCCGCAGTTTCATTCAGCTAGTGGAAGGGTAGCAGCTCACTTGATCCTCTGGGACATGTCCCTTGCTGGCAGAAGCCTTCCCACGTTTGGAGTGCCCGAGGAGAGGTGACTTCTACAGTGCTGCAAGTTTGTGATGGTGGAGGAATTCCACTTTTCATGAAAATTTACAAAATTCTTCTTTGGATTATCCTTGCAGTGACCCAGAGTGGTTAACAACAGGGTAAGCTGAATGGGTTGGTAGGTATATGTTCGCTGTCACAGCTCAGTGACTAGTGGCTGATGCAGGCCAACTGCAGAAGGGTGCAGGCTCCCAGAAGCTTCAAAATTAGAGTTAAGATTTCAGTAGGAGCCTTAATTCCTATCAGCTGGTGAAGGTCAAATAAAAAATATGGTAAGAAAAGGCTGAGCAGAAAATAGTCTATATGACAGGATTGTCGTGCATACGTGCTAAGAATACTTTAAACCATACCAGCAGAAACCAGTAAAATCCTTGTGATGGAGCAGGAGAGGGGTGGATGCACACCTGAGCAAATCAAATTTCAGCCTGAAGTTCAAAATGTGTCCTATTTTCCCATGTTCCTGTGTTGAGCTTGAAATACAGTGCAGATTGGTTTTGTAACTGATAAAAACCGGCATGAGCCAGGAGACTGCTGCTGAGCTCAGCAGTGCTTGGCTTTAGAATCCAGTTTCCAGCTTATTCCCAAATGTCCGATTTAATCATAACCCTGTTTAGGGATTCATCCAAGGGAATTGCCTTTTTTTTTTAAAGAATGTTTACCACTTTCTATCAGCCATGGAATAGCTTAAGCTGTAACCTTTTGGGTATCTTTATGTTAAATTTGTCACATAGTTTTGGCCACATTAAAGTGCATACCTTTTAATTTCTCTCACCACTAATTATGAGATGGAATTTTGTATTTTCAGGTGTATAAGCAGATGAGAACCAGGAAATGAAGCAGATCCTTCTAAACTGTGTGGTCAGGAAGGGTAACACACTAGTGAATTTTTCATTAGTTGATATTCTGTGTAGTTTCCTTCATGTATCACCTATTTGGTAGCTTTCCCCTTAAAGGGCAAGGCAGGTGAAAAGGTGCACTTAAGATGAAGGCTTAATTAGGATAAAAAGGTAGTTAGTAAGGCCTTTTCAGCATGCAGGACAACATTAATGTGCAATATCCTTTCTGAATGAGAGAAACTTGTCTGCCATGCAGCATTTACTCAGAGCTGGTGGCTTTGCCTTTTGGTCCAGGGCTGGGACGATACTTACACTCATGCACTCTCTGTCCAAATGTGCAGAAAATTTCAATTGCTTCAAATATCTTAATCATCCTTCACTACATTTCTTCAAGACCAAATACTGACATGTCTAGCAGTTTCCTTACTGTTCAGTGGCATTGTTAATTGAGATATTTAAAGCAATGCCTTTGGGCTCTCTCAGGCCAGAACATCTGATTCAACAGCTTGGGAATTGCAGGATATTGCACAAAAGCCTCTGGACTCAGCTGCCACACAATGTTAGTCTGATTCATTAGCTGAAATATTCCCTATTTCTCACTCCCAATCTCAGCCTTTTCCCCTTAGCTTCATCCTTGGACATCTCCAAAGTTGAACGTGACCTGTCATTCGCATAGGCCACTGTGATGGAAGGTGACTCACACGACTGGGAGATTAGCAGCTGAGCTAAATACAGGAAGAAAGAGATACATGAAATCCATGAGGGAAAGAGGAAGGGCTTTAAGGGAGCAATGCCAAGGTGTGAGGTGTGCAAGTTGTTGTGCTCATGCATTGTTCCTTGGGTGTCCTCTCCAAGCAGATGCTCCAGTGGCAGTGGTGTTTGTTGTGGGCTGTGCATGCTCTGCGTGGGCAGTTCAGCATTGGCAGGCACTTTCCATCCTTCCTTCCCCCACAGTGCCTCTGCATCAAACACCAAGATGAAGCTGAAGGTGCTCTGTTGAGCACAAACAGTCAGCCTGGCCTCCAGGGCAGGTGCTCCTCAGAGCATGGAAAACATGAAGATTCAGGATGCATGAGCAAAGGTGATCTTCAGTGCCTAAAGGGTAATAGGCCTTGACACTGGAAATTCATTAGGCATCGTTGCTGCTTGGATCATATGCTTAGTCCCTGCTATTGCTAGAGAAAAGACTTGACATGAAGCAAAATATGGATCTAGCACATAAACCTTCATTAAAAACAGTTTTCAGTGAGGTTTTAGTCATAGGCTTTAATCTGGGAGAGTGCTTTGTGATTTTGCCAGATGGACTCTGTCTGTCTTCTCAGGAAAATCCCGATAGGTATTATCCAAAAGGTGGGTCATTCATGTTATGATTTGCTCGCTGGTCTAGAACCACGAGCATTTGGACCTTTACTCATAGATTAAGTTTGGCAGTTTTCTTCTGCTGCTTCTGGGGTAGAATAGAATAGAACTATTTCAGTTGGAAGGAACCTACAGTGATCGTCTAATCCAACTGTCCGACCACTTCAGGGCTGACCAAAAGTTAAAGTGTCTTAGCATCTTTAAAATCATCCACTCACTTCTCTGCTGTCTATTGCTATTGCACCTTCCATTGTTCCAACTTATTTTCTGTAAACATCCATCAGACGACCAAGTTTACTTTGATTACAATATTGGATAAAACCTACAGGGTTCCAGGTGAATAAAATTAATCTATTACAATCACTAACAATAGCTGGCAGCAGGTTATCAATCTCCCTAATATCTTTCTAAGGGAACCTTATAGCAAGGATAAATGTGTGCATCTATTGGTTTTAATATGGTTAAAATATTACTGAAGAAATATTACTATTGGTATTCAACAATTCAGAACTTTTTGGTAAGGACAAAACCCCACTAATTCAGGGTGCAATGTTACTAGGGTGATCTACATTTCCAGTACCCACTTTGTCCCCATTTTCTATCTTCCCCAAAAGGAAATTAAATACCAAACTTTCTGCTTTTACATGCGTAAATATTTCGTTGACAATCTCATCGTATAATCACTTAAACCAGTAACAAAAGTAATAATTTCTCCAATCTTGTTCAACACACTTTCCACTCTTGCAACTTTATTTTCTAGTTGAGTAATCACCCCTGCCTTCACTTCAAATTTCTTGAGCTTCTAAAATCCGTCAGACCGTCAGCTGTACTTAATTGCAGAGTAATGTATTACCTGTGGTGACTTTAGATTTATACTGGCATGTTTTTTAAGAGGTGTATGAGCAATACACATACCAAGGACTTCCATGTGGCTTAGATTATTTACAGTCTGTTTTTAATGCTGCTAATTTCACAGTCCTCAGTGACTGTAATGGAGAAAACTATTTAAAATATGCTATTGATTGCTTTTGATTAGCATATGAGTAAGGGTCACTGATTTGGATACAGACTTTTGACATAATGACTTCAAAAGCATTTTCATGTCATGTCCTGCCTCAGCCTAAGACATCAGGTTACTGAATCATTAACCATCAGCCTCTGCTTCTCTTCCTCAACTACCAAGGTCACTAGGATTTATATGAGAGCTGTTTTACTCAGAAAATCCATGGGCTAAGGGTCTCGGTGATGTTATTGAAGACAAAGCACAGATAGTGTTTATCACCTTTAGAAAATAAAATGCAATTTTTTCAGGCTTATTTTTTTCCTTCATTTTTTTTGTAGTGGCAATTTGCCATTGTTACCAGTGTGAGTCTTGCAGAATTAAATTTTATAATGTATTTGATTATGTAGATAATGAAAATATTTTTTGCTTTGATGTATTTCAATCTACAGATTATTATTATTATTTAATCATCATCATCATTAGAATTATCGAATGTACTTTGGATTAGTCCTTACCTGCCAAGCTTCTGTGCTTCAGGAAAATAACATTTACTTCTCTATTAACCTCAGCAAATAGGAGATCACAATAG